GGGGAGTGTGGCGGCGGCGAACGCTAAAGGTGTAGCCCGGGGCGGGGGGTGGCGGTTGGCTGCGTTCGGGAGATCAAACGGGCGCAGAGAATGCGGAGGATATGGGGGCCTCGCGGTGTGCTGGAGGGGCGTTTCTCGGCTTGGTGGGGTGGGGGAGGAGGTAGGTCCTATCTGGGCGGAGGACCTGGGGTGGGGGAGAAACGGGAGGGACCGTGAAGCATGTAAGAGTTGGGCTGTGAGTGCCCAGCATATGTGAGGTGGCAGGGTAGGCCGCGGGGGATGGAGGTGTTGAGTTTGCTTGTGGGCTGCAGGCGTTAAGAAAAGAAGGGATCTAGAGCCACCGCAGATGTGGAGCGAGGGGGGGAATGTCCCTTCTAAGAAGAGTGGTCCTAGGAGAGGGAGAAGCCGACGGACTGTGGTGGACAACGGTTGAGAGCGCTGTGGGCATCCCAGGGATGGGAGAGCTGGGAGGCAGCTCCTGGTCTGTAGGCGTGGACCAAATACTGGCAGCTGAGCCTGCTGCTGCAGCTTGTCTGTAAGAAAAGATTCAGTTATAAATACCTCACTTGAGTCTGTTTTGACTCATTTGAGTATGTATTAATTTTTAGCCACCAAAACAGCTCCATCCTATATTTTGGATAGGGCCCAGCATGCTGAGGTCCTGGTTGACCTGTGGTGTTTGTTTGGTGGGAAAAATTATATTAGTATTAAAATTCTGCGGACAGTGAGGGACGTCGGTTCGCAGGGATTCTAGGTTGCTGTTGTTGGTCAGCTGCTGTGAAGCAGCGTTGATGTCATAAGAGGGTGGCAAATACATCAGAAACAGGGAAGGATTTGTCTTCCATGAGGTGTTTTCTGACAAAACTTTCTTTCCACATGGAAAATAATGTTGATCAGGAATGTGACTTGACTTCAAATGCTATCAGAGTGGAGAGACTAAAGAAAGTCATCATAGGCGCTAACTGCAGACTTATGTAAGCAAGATGAATGTAACTGGGTATTTATTGAAAGTGTGGTCACTGTCACTCTTCCCAGGTGCTTTTCTTAGCCTGTCAGATGTCATTCAAAGTCCCAGTCTTATTTTTAGACGTGCCTGAGTACTGAGAGCAGTTGCAAGGCTGAGAATTGTCAAACGAGTTTATTTAGAAAGATGCTTAGCACTGGTTTTAATGGCAGGTGGAAGTCCACGTTCCTTAAACTGATATGAAAACATCGGCCTGGCTACTTTGTGAGAAACGTGATCATTTTCTCTCTATTCTGTAGAGAACAGCTGAAAAGAGAATATGAAAGTCCACAGCACATCAGAGGTTTACATACATCCTTCATTAATTTATCAAATTTTCCTGCTTTTTTTTTGTAGAGTTCCCTTTAGAGAACAAAACAGAAGGTATATCAGTAAGCTGATAATATTTTTTTTTTCTTCTTTCTCCCTGAACTTTCTTCAGGAAGAGGAGACGAAATGGCAATGAAGATGACGGTCATGTTCCCCAGACAAAACGTAGTACCAGGAATACTGTCCTTCAGGACTCTTGGGACACTGAGGTGAGAGCCTTCTCGGGCAAATTCAGTTTCCTTTAATACGGAATTTAAATAACGGTTGGAATATTCTGTGAAATTTGAATTCATGGAGAGTAGTTAATGAAAACGCTTTATTTTGCTTTGTGTATGAGGTCATGAGGCTTGACTCTGTTACGTACTTCAGAGATTGAAATCTGTAAAACGTGGTTTGGAAATCAGCATGTTTTCCAGTGAACCTGGTTATCTTTGGCCTGAATATTTCTGTTAATATACTTCAAATACTGATGTGCAGCACCCAAGTGAAGATACAAGAAAAGCATTTGCTGCCACTTCCAGTTTTGCTCTCTGAAATGAGGTGTAAAGTATCCAGAACTGAGGAGATGACTAGGGTGGATTACAAGTGAGCGTGGTCACTTCGCCTGGCCATCTGCTCTTCCAACTTTGCATTTACTTACAGTAACGTGATTATTTGTGGTAGAAAGTCAAAAAGCATTCCAACTAGTGCAATACACAAAGTGCCTGTTGCTAGCAGTAGTGCTTATCTGATGTTTAAAAAAATGCTCTGATAAAGCTCAGCAGTTTAAGCAAGACTCGCTCGCTCACAGCTAAAATACTTGAACTCAGACTATTGGGTTTCTACTTGTATTTGCCGTGATCTTTTGCTGGACGCGAGATAAACTGTCTCTTATTCTCTCATCACTCACATGACAGGTGTTCTAGGATGGTGTAATTTGCTAGCTGTGAGATTTCTTTTTTTAAAAGATGCTGATTTCCAAGCTGCTGCCAGATTTCCTGAATTGTTGCCTGTATTAATCATCTGAAAATTCACTGTATGCATTTCTAATTAGCAATGTAGCTCTGTTGCAAAACGTTCATGGAAAAGAGCGTGCAGAGCAGAGGCTCCCTCCTGGTTTGTGTCCCTGGAAGTTAATGAAATGGATTTCTTTTAAGGTTTTTGAAATATCCTTGTTGGTTTTTGTACAGCCCTCTCCGAAGATTGACTGTAATGAGCGATTACGAACTATTGCAGTTGTATTGAACTATTAACTATACTTTGACTGCAGAAAATGTTTTGTGCTATGTAACTCTGAGCAACTTATCTTTAATCATATGGTAATGGCTTCAAATGTTTACTTAGATTTAAAATGATACAAAGTTCCGTATCCCACCATTCCTTTTGTGAGGGAGACTTTCTTTTAACCAGTACACCTTTACACATAGCTGATGTGATAGTCAGTGATATTGTATGGAAAATACTCTAACAGCCGAGTTGTTCATCACGAAGGAATTGCTGTGATGAAAAATGTTCCTCGTTCCTGTATTGCTGTTTTGCCAGAAGTAAGACTTGCTGGGATGAAGTAGTTTTTGCTTCTCGGGTATAACGGGTAGAACCATAAATAGTTGCTTGCCATCTGACACTGAATCACTTGTCCAACAGGTTAAACACCTCTTCGTGTGTAGAGTAGTTAATGGCTAAACGAGCTTTGTGGCGGGAGGAGGAAGAATTTAGTGTGGAACAAGGGATTGAAGTAGGAGTAATGAAATTAAGAATATCAGGAAAAGCCTTCATGGTGAGTGGCAGAAGCACCTTTGCTTGTCATATAAACACTTGGCGTTTGACTGGGCAAAGTTGCTAAAATGCAGAAATGGAAATAGTCTTGTAGTAGCCACACAAGAGTGGATGACCTTAACCCTGTCCTTAACGGCTGTTTTGTTTGGGGTGCCTGCAAGTGAACAGCATGGGCATGAGCCGCCTGCCCCGCCACCAGCAAAATCAGCGCAGAGTTCAGTTGCTGAAGCTAACATTAAGACTCCTGCTTCATGCATGCACTTGTGTTGTAAAAGTATGTTTTTAACACATTAAACCCTGACGTGCAGGCAAGGAGAGTCTCTTACTGTTGACGCTGAAGTAGAGGAATGCGCCTCCTGGACAGTTTTACAAAAATCAATGTTCCCTTTCTCGAGGGAACAAAATTCACAATGTCGTCTACTGATGAATAAAGCTTTTTTTTTCCTTTTTTTTCTTTCTTGTAATGTTGGGTCACTGAATTGAGCATGCCCAGAAATTCAAGCCATGAGATTAAATCAGTGTTATTTGAATGTTTCTTTAAGGACTTCCTGTGCCAAATGGAGAAATTCTTGTGCTTATAGTGCACAAGTGCTTCCGATTGATGTCACTTCTAAATTCTTGGCCATTTATAATACTTTTATTTAGTTTCCTGATACTTTGCCATTTGCAAAGGCAGCTCTTGCTGATTACAAATCCTCACTAGCTTTAGGATATTGAACTGGGAGAGAAAGTGTGTGTGTGAGAGCAATTTGTAACTTCAAAGAGCACATGAGGAGAAAATTGCTTTTCATCTGAGGGCATACGCACACCTGCTTTTTGTGAAACTTTAGCTAACATACTGATTCCTTTTGCCTTCCTTCAGTTGAAAGTTGACTGCTCTTACATACGGAGTATGGTTTACTTGAGAACATAACCTCAGTAGGAAAATCAGGCAGCTGTAATACTAAACGTGAACTTGGCTTTTGTCAGGATCTCTTTCCTTTTTTTTTTTTGCCTTACTCTCCATAGCTGACAGCAATATGTGTAAGGTGAAGGGAGATTTTTTTTCTTAGAGGCAGGTCAAACGTGGGCTGTTTGGTGTCCCTCAGTCCCTCACTTTGAATCCCACTGCTCACATGAGCTACATTTGATGCAAAAGGATATCGCTGTTTTCTCCCGCTAGATTGTCCTTTCATCCAGGGTAGACAGCATCCTCAACTCCGACTGACTTTTACAGGAGGGAAACAGATTCTCTTCAATCTCTGTCAGCACTACCTCTTGGCAAATGGCTATAACAATGTGCAATTCCTGCTCCTCCTGGAACAAACCACTCCCGCGCTCCTAGGTGACAGCCACCCTGAGGATGACAGTAAACTTCTACTTTGCAGTTCAGTCCGTGAACAGGCACACGACGAAAACGCTAGACTAGAACTACAGCGAACGTTAAACATTAGCGAAGCAGAGCGTTTGCCACCGCGTTTCACTTCCTGTTCAGCCTGTCCTCCGCTTACCTGGAGGTTAGCTGTGGTGTTTTCCCTGGTACTCGCTTATAAATTCAGCAAAAGCCCTTCCTACCCTCCTGTCATTGCTGCCCTGTGTGTGTGCGTGAAGTTAGGCAGAGTTGTAGTGGATCCTCTGAGAGGCTGGCTGCGAGCAGCTGCTCATGAGAATTATGAGAATCTGCAATAGTGCTCTGCAACCTGGGAAATCACCAATGAAAAGCCCTTTGCTCTGATTTTCCCTGGGAAGGAAGGGAGTCTGCAGTGTTCTGACTAGCTTTTTTCCTTCCTGAATAACTTTCTTCTGTAAAACCCCATTTCTTGTGGTTCCTCTTTGTTATTCTGAGCGATGACAGGATTCCCCAGAGCTTAGAAATACCACGGTTTTATCGGTGGAGATTGCTGACGCACAGCAGCAGTTGCTTCTCTCAAATCAAAGTTTTTGTCTAGCATTGCAGCTATGCCACTCTGCAGTATTACACTATTGAGGAAGGGCTGATCTTAAATTCTAATTAAAATCAGATGACGCCTCTGTTAAACTCATCTTGAAAGATTTTGAGAGCAGCAGGGTCTGAATGGCTGTTTCTTAAGTTCCTGTCATGAATGATTGAGATGCTACGTCACAGATCAGCAGACTAATACATTTGACAGGACATTTGTTTGGAAATTATTTAAAACTTCTATAGCTACTCAGTGTGATGTTAAGAGGGGCTAATGAGTCAGGTAAACCCTGAAGATGTCCTTTTGATGCTTAAAGTACTCATAAACTTTCATTGGGCTACTGTCCTTTGCCCTTTTGCTTAAGACTTTGTTTCATTGTGTAGATGCCTGTCATTGCTGACATGATGACTTTAAGGATTCTTTTTTTGTCTAATTGTAGTCCAAATGCGTAACAGAATGTGCACCACAGCCTGGGGAAATGGTAGGTCTTTGACGTGATTTGGGCAATAAATGGGCTTCACGTGCTAGTGAATTTTTGCATTAGAGAAATGGAAATAAAGAGGGTATGACAGACCCTGTTGATCTGTCAACAGCCTTAGATGTAGGAAGCACGTCCCAGGACACTATCTCAGTTTTAAAAAAAAATTAGACATGCATAAAATAATCATTACTAACAGCTCTAAAATGTTTGTTAAGATGTGAAACTTTAGCCGTAAGTAATACTAGGTTTTCATTTTGATTTTTACCTTGATTTTCAGAAGGTGGCTGTAACGAAAAACAGTAAGGAACACAGACTAAAAGGAAACAAAGTGTCCTGTGCGGTGGGTTTCTCTCCAAGGCTGCTGTGACTTGTTCAGCGTAACAGCATTGCATTTCAATATTTGTGCTTCTATGCAAAATGAGATGGTCTAGCAAGCACCATTTCGTGGCTCCTCTCTGTCCTTCTGGTGTTCTCTCCCTCTCTAGTGTTAGCAGCATTAGGAAGAGGAGCTGGTTGCTCGTGTAGTTACATCTGCTGCTTCCTCAAGAATGACTTCACATGCGTTTTGTTGTTTTCTCCTTGCTAGCTGAACCTAACACGCCAGCGCGGGTGCAGCCTCAGTGCCGCTGTCTTGCTTGCTGTACTACAACAGAACTGAAGCATTTTTGGTGCTTAGCAAAACAAGGAAATTTATATGGTTGAATTGTCACGATCGATTGTGGAATCAGTGCCGTGGGGTTTCCAGTGGGCATTGAGATGTGGTCCACCTCAAATACTCATACAGTGCCTTCCTGGGCCTTTCTCACTGCTCGTCGACAGACGTGTCGGGTGCGGTTTGCACCATTCTTCAGATTCACTCCAAAGTGAGGCCTTCTGGATGTGGTGCTGACTGTTAAATTACTGTGGACTTCTTTAAATTTGGCTTCCTCTGCTGTGGCCACCAAGCTTTGACTTCTGTGGTTTTAGTTTAATACTTACAAAAATGTGGGGTTTTTTTAGCTGCTGTCACTTATGCTGGCTGCTTTTGTGAATTTACTTCTTATGGGATGGCAAAGTAGCCATTCTCTGATTCTTAAGCACCTAAATATTTGCAGTGTTGTCCTGAACAGCGTATCCCACAGTAATGAAATATTTCAGCTGTTACTAATGGAACCTTTCGTTAGCAGCCCTTAAAATGGTGTAAACCAAACAGTTTTATGTCTTTGAAACACTGAAAATGATGGCTAATGCTCTTCCAGTCATTACCATGAAATGTGTTTATCCTAAATGCTGGCAAACGAGCCCTGTCCTCTACGCGACCTAAATCATGAGCTCTCTTTTCTGCGTGTGGAAGTCTTCGATGCCTGTCGCTCTTTCACTGTCGTGTCAAGTAAATTGTTACGGAAAACTACCAGTTAACATTGCCGTCCCAGTACTTAACTGGGAGAAGAGTAGTTGTATGTATGTCAAGGTGTTCAAAGACTTAAAATGGGTATCGTGTTGCATTTGTTTTTAACAGCCTGTTGCTTTGGATGCTTCAGATCTCATTTTAGAAAGATTGACTTGTAGGAAAATGCTTTGCATGGTGCTCACCTAAAACGTCTGCTAGAACAGAAGAGATAGATAAACTTTTCCTCGTGCCCTGCCTGCCTTTACTGACACGTGCAGTTCAGTAGGAATGTTCTTTATTTTCCAATTCTCGGATGAATTCAGCAAACTTCACTAGTGCTAACGTGGGTCATGGGGGCAGAGCTGGTGGGCCTAAAACCGAAAGATTGAAATCCAATGTACTGGAGGTCAGCGAACCTCCGCGTGAAGGCTTGCTCATCCCTTCAGCTCTGTGACGCTTTTCATGTGTTGGCAATAACGGAAGCTATGAATGCCAAGAAAGCACTTGGTGGATTTACATTAGTCCATCAGGCTGACCGTGAGCCTGAAAATCTGGAAGGGAGGGACTTATTGTAAAGATTGTTTGCTTAACTGAGCTGTTTCATTATGGACAGGAGAGAAGACTCTGTGATTTTGCTGTTAACCTTCTCTTTGTCTCAGTCCTCCAGCAGCGATAGCGGCAGCAGCAGCAGCAGCTGTAGTAGCAGTAGCATCAACAGCCCTGACAGAGCGTGCAGTGCAGAAACCAGCCTAAACCCGATAATTGCAGGATCCAGTCCTGTCTCCTCTCAGTCCTTCCACGAGCAGTCTGCACTAAGCCAAGGTCCTTACTTCCACATCAACCAGATCCTGAAGGAGGCACACTTTCACAGCTTACAGAGCCGGGGACGCCTTCCTACATGATGAACCAGCAGTTCCCTGCCTTCTGTGAAGGGACAGCACTGTGTAGATTTGATATTTCAACTTAAAAGTTTGTTAAAATGGAATTGCACAAAACGCCTGTTGCCTTTTCAGTCTATATTTGAAATAACAGGTTAACAGGAAATTGTTTACTTGTGGTTTGCTGCACTATTGCAATGCAAAAGGGGCTTTGAAGCAATTTTTATAGGATTCTTTTTGGGGTGGTTATAAAGTACGTGTCAAGAGGAGACTGAGGAATCCACATCTGTGTTATAGGATTGCAAAATGTCCAATTCCAATTGACTGCCTAATCTGTTTGTTAGCAATTTGTTGCTTTATGTAAAGTTCTCTCAAACGTTCATCTTCAGTTTTATAAGTCTTTTTTTAATTTCAATAAACTAGTAAAAAATTTATTTGGCAACATAATTTTTTTGAGCATTTAGAGTTAGTAAGACAGTAAGAATAGGTGCCATCACTGGAATCCCTTAGGACTGCCCCAGCTGTGAACTTTCCACCCAGCTCCGTGTGCGATGAGCCTTACCTCTCTTGATCTTTACTGCTGCGGTACTGAAAAGAAAATGTGAAACTAGAACCAGGACAGCTTAGGCAGCTGTAGCCGAAACGTCAGGTGCCCGCTGGCTTCACTTGGAGAGCAGCTTTGTGGTGTCTATGGAGACAAGTACAGAGTAGCCTGGGGAGAGGCTTTTGAAGAAGGAGAGGAGTCTTACATTGCTCCAATACCCATTTCTAGCTGTGAAATGCTTTGTTTTCTGTTACAGTGTGTAGGATTTTTTTTCCTTTAATTTGGCTTTAATGTTAACAACTTCTAAGGAATAGGAGATGAAAGAGTAGCTGCACCTCTGTTCCAGCAGCCAGATGGCAAGGACAATCCTGACCTGTGCCTGGTTCAAGGGGCGTACTGCGATCTGGCTAAGGATGGAAAAGTACTTCTCTTCTGACAATACCACCGGAGGTGTCACCGCTCCCTGCCAAGGGGAGAGAGCGATCTCAGTGAAGACAAATACGCAGGCAAACTTTTTATTTTTTATTGCATCACTTGGTCATGCCAGAAAGCCATCCCAGCTTGAAGAGAGAAGGTGCAGCTGTGTCTTCCTCCTCAGTTACAAGCTGCCTGAACAAAGAGCCAGGGCGCGATGCCTCGTCTTCTGCTCTTGTGAGTGCAGGAGGGGGAACCTGTTAGTTTTTAAAAACAAAAGCGTCCGTAACTATTACAGCATACCTTTGACTCACTCCATACCCTCGTCTATAGTAGCTGCAAGGAGGCAGAGTCTACAGCAGAACAGCTCTTCCTAGGCAACTTGAGCTTGAACTACAACCTAAGCGGTGTCACTCCTGGTGGTTAGTGACAGGCAGAGGCAGTTCCAAGCGGCAGAAGCACAGCACCTTGCTGTTGTTGGCAACAGGTAACTTTTCAGGTGTCATTCAATGCTCAAAAAAAACCCCAACCCCATTCTGAATTGCAGGGGAGGGACTGTTGCTCTCGGAGCCAGGGGATAACAGCATGGTAGAAGTACAGCTGTTGCCCTTGCAGAGAGCTGTTCTTGAGTAACTATGGACTTTAACCTCTCCTGAACTGTTTTAGCATAAAAGGAGCAAGCATCTGTCGGGGATTCTGAGAAGTGTGGCTAGCACAGAACATACGTGTGCCACCACGGCAGGTGAAGGGAGTGGGAGGAGCGAGCCAAACATCACCGCACACTTCTACGCTCTACTACAGCTGAGGTGTAAGAGGCAAAGAATACCTTTATTGTGAAGCTTTGGGCTTTTAAACAACCCTTATATTATGTCTGGTCCTTAATGCTTCTGAATAATGGAGAACAAGAGTTGCAGAGTAAACATCAGCATCTCAAGTAACACTCTGCTCTGATAAAACCAGACCTTTACGCTTCTGTCCCAGTTGAAAAGACATCACCACAGATAGATTATTGGGTTAGTAATAGCTAAAGGAAACAGATTACTAATTACTGTTTCCTGTAGCGGTGAGGTATTCCTTGGCTCTCTCAATCCTCAGCGTAGAGAACTCCATCTAAGCAGATGTTTTAAACTGGGGGAAACGTAGCAACGTAAGGGTTGTCTACTGCTAAAACTCAGAAACGGGACAACACAGAGCCTTTGCAAGAGAAGCAAGCCACTGTTCACACAGGCTTAAATACCCAAGCCAGGCTTCGTCAGGAGTTAAAGGTCAGCATCGCACTGGAAAGGAGTTCAAATAATTAGCTAGTATCCTTCAACGTTTCCTGCAGCCATCTTTAAATGAATTGTCTTTATGCATTGACCTCAAAATGCCTCATCTGTATAAGTCTTCACTGCATGTTCATGGTGGTTATTGCTTATGTTTTACCACAGAGCAATGGGCCCCAAAAATACAGGGGCCATCAGGTTTTTTTTTGAGGGTCAAGGGGAAATCCAAACCATCTCATGCTGTGTTGCCGTAATGGTTCTCTCATTTTACCGAAAATAAAAATCAGGTTAAATATTAACTGTTTGGCTACTTTCTTCTTTCCCTGCAAGCTCTAGTGTTGGTGGGAGAATGAGTACTGGCAAAAAGTTACTATGGCTCAGTTTTACCAACCTGAACTCCTTCTGTGCTCCTGGTAGCAGACTTGCTCTTTCGCGAACTTGACATACTCAGCGGCAGAAGTCCGAATCTTAAGAGTTGGAAGAAAGAAACGCAGCCGGTCACAGGGAAGTAGCAATTCTAGACCTGCTTCCCAAAGAGACACGAGAACGCACAGAAGAGCTGAGTACCTTACCTGATCTGGCTGGATGCTAACGGCAAGATGTTGTGGAGCTCCTGGGAGCTCAGACCGCCACTCCTGCTCGTGTAATGATTCTCTGTCCCGGTCAGCAAGCCAAAGAGAACCTAGAAGGCACGAAGGAGCTGTTTGTATTTGGGGGCATCTGCAGAGCTGACCACACAATACATTGCTGGCGAGTCTACTGGCACGCCACTTGTGATTGATTTTAAGTTTGAACATTAAATGTCTCCCTTCCCCATCTAACTCTTGCTTCTAATTGGCGCTGCTCATTATTACTGTAGTTGAGTTCTAGGCCTGTTTCAGCACTACTTAACCCAATTAACGTTGCACAGGCTCCAGTGACTCCTGTTAGATAAAGTTCAGCCAACTCCATGCACGATTATGTGCTGTGCAGCCAGCTCAGCAAGCTCCTCTTATCTTCAGCTGGCATTAAATACTCCTCCCATTTCTGCGCAAGTGCCAGTAGTTATCTTTAGGCATTAAGCAGTTTATAAAGCCACCCCAGCTGCCCTTCAGAACGTGTTTTGCCAGCCCTGCTTCCTGATCCATCCCTTCCTTTTCCTTGAACTTACAGAGGTTTGCTGAACCAGGCGATTAAGGTTGCTGTTCAAGTGTGGAGTAAAAACGTCCAAGTCAAACGGATCTATGTGTCCCTCCAGGAAGTCGGTCACCTTCTCAATCCTACAAGCAGAGCAGAGGAGTCCTGTCAGGGGTTACGTCCTGGCGACGGCTGCTGATGCCAACAGGGCCGTTTCACCGGTCCCTCTGAAACAGTGAGGGACTTGCCCCTAAGAGGTGACTGAGCAAAATGGGAATTACACAACCTACAACATCTGCTGTTGCAGAGGAACCTTCTCCCTGTGGTACGTCTCAGAGGGAGATGCCTCAGTTCTCAAGACTGGAGCATACACAAGGTTTTAACTCTTGGGTGGGAGTTTAACTGTTCTCTCCTAGGGGCGGTATCCCTG